GACATGTTATGTCACCGAACATCAGACTTTATTTCGTAATAATTTCTTTGTTAGGTGAGAAAATTTTTCAGCACCCCCACACACCAGCATGTTGAAATCAATTAATAAAAATAAACAAGATGCCTACATTTTCTATTTACATGGGGGAGAATTTATATTGTTTATATGATATTTTTATAGATACACATTTTTAAGTTAATACCCTATTTATAAGCATTATTATTTACATTTACTGGTCTGAATGTTCAATAAATTTCATAGAAAACATGTGTTCTCTAACAGGAATTAAACATGGAATGGTCATATAGCCTGTCAGAGGACACATGTTTTCTATGAAATTTCTTGGACATTCAGGCTGGTAAATGTTGTTAATACTTTTAATTATAAACATAGATTTTGCTTAAATATTTGTATCGATAAAAACAATGTATAAACATAAAAATAACATATAAACAGAAAATATATTAAAATAATTGTCATAGTATATATATATATATATATATATATATATATATATATATATATATATATATATAGTGCAGGGTCTTTCTGTATTCTGAGATGAGGTATTATGTATATTATTTACATTATTCGAACTATTGTCCTCATCTTTGTCGCCATATTTATTACAAGTTTCATCCATTGTATGCTCCAGCCTTCTTCAGGTAGTTGGAATGTTGAACTGAACATGGCACATGGAACTAGAATAGTCTACCCCAGTGAGCGAAATAAAGGGTTCAGTTCAACATTCCAACTACCTGAAGAAGGCCGGAGCATACAATGGCCGAAACATTGTAGTAAATATGGCGACAAAGATGAGGACAATAGTCTGAATAATGTAAACAACACAGTGCAGGGTTATAACTGAATCCGATGTTGTATGAATAACTTCAACATTATAAACCATTTTATCAGGAATTAAATTTTTTACTGAAGTGAAATAAGACAATGATCAGATATGAGTAATTCCTTTTTATTAAATTGATTCCTTTGCCTTATTTGCAGAAAATAGAAAAAAGAGGGACATAGATGATAACCAATTAACCTACCTATTGAACTCGTGCAAATGGTTGGTGGAACAGGGATTAGAAGAGATAGCAAAAAGACATGGTTTATTATGAGCTACAAAAGACAGAAAGTTGTGAAGAACCATGACTATCCACTTCCTGAAAGGAAATGGCACATAAAATAAGAAAAAGAAGAAGAAGGAGCTGTTATAAATGGTTGGGAGAACAAGTATTTGGAGAGACAGTGAAAAGACAAAATTTACTAAGTCCGACAAAATACAGAGAATTGTAGAGATCCATGATCGGCCATGTTCTGGAGGGACACAGCACAAAGAAAAAGTAGAAGAAAATTTAGTAAAACCTACAAAGAACAGGGAATTGCAGAGAACCATGATCCTTGTCATTCTAAAGTGACATGGAAAAAGAAGAGAAAATTTTTAAAAAGTCTCACAGTAGATTTGAATTTACATCCTTTATCTTTGGGAGCCTCTCTTAGGCAACAAAAACCAACTAATAAAAGTCTTTCAAATTTAGCCATATAACCCAATTCTTTATTTCTCCTAAAGACCAGACACTATTATAGAGGGTTGTCCCCTTGTACACTTGTGAAATAGCAGAACAGAGGAAATTTCCATGGCATCATATATTAGACAAATAAAACTTTCAAGTAATAATTTGTCAAACAGTGAAACATTATTTCATTTGGTAAATAAATACAAAATTTACAATGTTTTTTTGCAATAGTCATGTGACTTAGGGCACACCCTGTATTAATAGTATTAGATATTAAACATGAGTGAGTTTTGATTAACTTGAAATCATTATAACTTTACAAATACTGGGGTTAAGATTAGGTTAGACTAGTTTTGAAATTCTGAGACTGTCTTTCAGACTATATATAGCACATATTAGTTGGGAAGGGTTAGATTTCTGAGAACACTTATATATATATATATATATATATATATATATATACAACAAAATAGGTAAATATACACAGGTATACAAATACATATAAAAACTCTATAATGTAAGAAAAACAGTGCTCAATGTAAAATAACGGAGCTATTTAATATTTATATATATATATATATATATATATATATATATATATATATTAAATACAATGAGAAGCTGAAAAGCAACTTGTCAGCAGTCAATATACCACATAACACCCTTGAGTGCTTAGCCTTGGAGTGGGTAGAATGGAGATCAACGTGTTTTAGTGGACTCAGCAATTTTCAATCTGCTTGTCTGAATCATCTTCAAGAAGCGAGAGCAAGATCTAAAAGGTCAGCCAATCTAACAGTGATCTCATCTCACAATCTTCACACTTGCTCCATATGTGGCCTCCTTTGTAAATCACTAGCGGGTCTTAACTACCTTTACTTAAGATTATCGCACAAAATTTCATAACTGAATCAATAAGCTGTCAGATCCTCATACGTCAAAATCGACGGGAGAGTCCAAAAAAGAAAAATATCTTCTCAGAAACTTAGAATATTTTTATTCCATTATATATATATATATATATATATATTTTTCAAAAATTTTTATGTTTTTTTCTAGCCAAATTCATCTGTATTCTTCATCTTCTATGGATAAAAATGTAGGACTATTAGCAATATACATAATATCTTACATTTTGCATGACTCAATGCAATTTTTTCAATGCTGGAATTATAATATTTATTTTCATTTCTATTTACATGTTGTGGCAACACTTGTTTTTTTTTCTTTTTTGTTTTTTTACCAGCTTGTTTTTTCTTAGTTTTTTTCCTGTTTTTATTTACCTTTTTCTTTTTTTTCTACCAATGTCGACCCAACATATAAATAGAAATAAAGATAAATAATAGAATTCCAGCACTTGAAAATTGCTTCGGCATTAAACTACAATTCATGCAATTAATGCAAGATATTATGTATATTGCTAACAGTCCTACATTTTTATCCATAGAAGATGGAGAGAAAAAGAAGAAGAATACAGATGAATTTGGCTAGAAAAAAACATTCTTTCAAAAAAAAAAAAATTCTTTAAAAATTTTGAAAAATATATATATATATATATATAATACTAAAGAGAATAAAAAATATTCTAAGTTTCTGAGAAGATATTTTTCTTTTTTACTATTTAAATTTTTACGGCTTTTATTTTATAACTAGCATCCTGAACTTTGAGCAGTCTGAAAGGAGACAAAATAGAGATCTTTTTAAAAATTTATAGGTGGATTGGATTAGAGTAGATTTTATTGTTAAAGTGGCCAAGGTAGAAACAAAATGTTCAATTTTAATGTTCAAAAGTTATTTGAGACAGGAAATTCCCTTAGCAATGTCTTTGCATATTTACATAAACAATGATGTGATTAGACTTTTAAATTAGTGAATAGAATTATACCATTTTTTTTTTTTTTTTTTTTTAACTAGGAGCTCAAAACAATTGGAGAAGGATTTTAAAACATGGATTCTAGAAATTGTACAAAAAAAATAATAATTGTAGAAAAAGTCATTTAAAAAATAATAAAAAAAAAAAACATGATCAATTCACTGAAAAATTCTTCCTTTAGATTTTTTGGACAAAATTTTATAAAATCAATTCTATATTATTTTACCCTGGAACCAAGTGTGACAGAAAAGTCAGTACTTTATCCGTATATAAGAAAAATTGATGAAATAAAAGCACTAGGGAAAAAGAAATCTGTGAATATACAAATTCAGATGAAACTGTGGAAGACCAACCTAGAAAAAAAAAAGAAAGTGGTAAATAAAATAATTATGCGTTTTTTTTTTTAAATTTGATTTCATTGTTCATTTTCTGCAGCTTATCAACGCTACACAGGTTATTTAACCTTCAACACACAGCATTGTTCTTCAAGGCTTCTCTACTGCACTATTTAATTTCAGTTATGGCCATTTTCTGTTGCCATAGCAGGATATGACAACACAACTACAAAATTCAAATACACAGTTATTCATTTATCTAAGTCACTTTCAGTGGCAATATAAAATAGTTGCTTTTCAAGCAACATCACCTCCAGAATGTTAAAGGTTTTACAGCCAGAAAATAATCATATTTTTAAAAAGTCTTGTTTCATATATTATCAGAGATCAAGTGCTCCAGATAACAAATATAAAAAAATGTCATAAAAGATAATAGGGGGTGCAGTTTATTATGTAAATTCATTGCAAACTGATTCCCCTATTAAAGAATATGTGATATGAGTTCTTAAAATGCAACAAAATGGAAAAAAAATGTAATCTGGACTTCTTTTATATATATATATATATATATATATATATATATATATATGGCCAAGTGGTTAGAATGTTCACATTCTGACCATGAGACGCGGGTTTGAATCTCACCATAGTCGACTGGTCAGGAAGGAGACTTCCTGATGTTTTCCAACTGGAGGGTTCAATCCCAGCATATGGTGCCTTTGGAAAAGTGCCTGAAAACCTTACCATGGATTGACCCAAGCCTTGTGAGCAAAACTGGGTAGACAGAACACTTGGGGTCCGTCGATAGATGTGCTAGCATGAAGTCACAAGTTATCATCACTGGGTGTTTGAGTGCGCAGGCCTCATTCAAATAACACACTCTTTCCCAGAAACTGTAACTAAGGTCTGCTCAGCATAATTGTGGTATAAACCACAGGTGGGTCCTGTGGGTGTTGAATAAACACAAATGCACCTGAGCAAGCATCTGCAATAGGGTTTGGCTAGCTGCTCTCGTAGATGGGTATCCTTGAATACAAGTGGCCAGCTATACATATACATAGATATCAGTTAAATACTTCAGATTACAAATTAAAAAGAAAATTGTGAAAGTGCTTAATTTTTTCATTTTCTAGGGCATAAATAAATTGCTTATTAACAAAGTTTTCTGAAAAGAAATTTTTTGTAGTTTTTTTTTCATTTAATAATACTATACTGCTGATAATTGAATATCTTTCCTGGAGTATTTTTTTAATTAAATTATAAAAATGGATATATTTAAAGATATAGAATAGGGTGGTGGAGGTAGAGCAATATAAAAGAGGAGGAGAGCAATATAATAGGATGGGGGAGAAAGAGCAATATAAAAGGGGAGGAGAGCAATATAATAGGATGGGGGAGAAAGAGCAATATAAAAGGGGAGGAGAGCAATATAATAGGATGGGGAGAAAGGCAATATAAAAGGGGAGGAGAGCAATATAATAGGATGGGGGAGAAAGAGCAATATAAAGGGGAGGAGAGCAATATAATAGGATGGGGGAGAAAGAGCAATATAAAAGGGGAGGAGAGCAATATAATAGGATGGGGGAGAAAGAGCAATATAAAAGGGGAGGAGAGCAATATAATAGGGTGGGGGAGGAAAAGTAATATAAAAGAGGAGGAGAGCAATATAATAGGATGAGCAATATAATAGTGGGTGGGAAGAGCAATATAGTAGGGGAGTAAGAGAAATATAATAGAGGGGAGAGCAATACAATAGGAGAGAGGAAGAGCAATATAAAACAGGGAGAAGAGCAATATGATAAGGGAGGAAGAGCAATATAAAAGGAGAGAGCAATATAATGGGGGGAAGGGAGAGCAAGAAAAAGTACAAAAGGAAGAAAGATAATCATCTGATTGCAGGTAATAATGAAGCTGGAAACGAGAAAGATAACAGGGAGAGTGTTACTGATTGAGGCAGTTGCCCATAAGAGCAGGATTGATTGATTGATTCAGACATTTTCTACAGCTTATCAACCCTTTTCAGGTTATTTAAAGCCAGAAAATATTTTTAGAATGTAAAAATGTTTTTTCAGACAATAATTATTTAGTGATACGAGTCTTACTAATTGAGCCATAGCTGGGGGGGGGAGAAGAGGTGGATTCATACCCTTTGCAAGGGTATTTGTGAACTGAGTGAATATAATGGACCCAATTTGAATTGGAACTCACATATCTGATTAACAATTCTGATCCATTATCCATGACACCACCTTCACATCCAAGCTGACAGCCCTAGTATTTCCAAGCAGTCATCCATCTTGGTGCTGACCAGGCTTGATCTTGCTTAACTTTGGTAATCACATGGGAACCAGTGGCCATAAGCCTGTTCAACTAATATGGAAAAAGTTTTGAAAAATACCATTATTCCTGGTCGTACAGGATGCAGCAGAAATAGCATCTACGTGGTGCAAGTTTAAAATAAGTGTCCAACATTTGATGACACTGTAGGGATATGAGAAATACATAATTATCATGTGATTTCAATTGGTCTGACAAAACGGATCATCTGGGACAGCTCTAGAATCAAGTGTGACATTAGTGGCAAGAGTGTTTTCATTTAGCTCATGTTTTACTATTATGGAAGAGGTATTTCTGTCGCACACTCTACAATTCAACCATTTTCAGTTGTCCCCAAAATATCAATGGAATGTCTTATATCAAAGTGACAAAATTTTGCATTGCTAAATTTTGAATAAATATTTTGAGATCGATGAAATTCTGTAAAACAGAGGACAGGTAAAAGGATGTAGTTTTAAACCCCAAAATCTACTGTTTTCATATAAATGCTGTATAAAATTAGAATAAAAGATTGTTGACATCAAATGGGAGAAAGCCTTTTTTGTTCTTTCGAGAAAAAATTAGAGTCGATTAATCACTTGTTTTGATTGCATGTGGGATGTATAGGAATGATAATTAATGAATAAATATCTGGCATTGAAAAAAGAAAAGATTAAAATATTTTTAAATCTGAGATGACAAACCAAATTATGCCTATTAAGCTTATAAATTTAACATTTAACCATTTAGCTTATCTTTTTTGTTTTCCTTTCTGTCAGGAAAGTTTGGACAGGAATTATGATTAAAAGACAAAAAAATATTAACCACATCTCCAGTTTGAACAAAAACATGGAGTTGGAAACTCGTACTGAAATTCTTTTGTAGTGAATTTCACCAAATAACTGATGATCTTCCTTAGAAGGTTTTCTTCAGACGAAAAATGAAGTCCGATCAAATCCTTGACCTAAAAAAAAAAAAAAAACATGAATCTTGAATGGTGACTATATATATATATTTTTAGTCAGGTCATTAAAAACAAAGAAAAGAGTAATAAACTATCACATGATATCTGTCCTTGTGTATGGCAGCGAATCACCTCAAAGATGAAGAAGAGATTTGAAGCAACAGAAATATGACTTGGCAGAAAGATGCTGAGGACACCATGGACTAAACATGCAAGGTTTTAGAGAAAATGGAAAGTAAAAGTAATGTCAGAACAGGGTTTAGGGTTTAGATACTTAAAGAACAAAATTTGCTAAGAATTACAATAGATAGTGAACAACGATGAGGTTTTGGAGAGGATGCAAACAAGAAGGAAGCTTATATTTAACATCAGGAAGAGGCGGTTGAAATTTCTAGGACACGTAAAAGAGAAAGTAGGGCTTGGAGAATCTGATACTCACAGGACAGATAGATGGAAATAAAGACAAGGGAAAGTAATGCATGACATACCTAGCAGGCTTAAGGAAGTGGTTAAGAGAACATGGCCTGGGAGAAGTAGCAAAGGGACAAAACTTATTGAGAGCTACAAGAGATAGGGGAGGGAAGTGGAGAGCCATGACCGTCTACAGCCTGAAGGGACACAGCACATAAAAAGAAAGAATAATAAAATAAATATTCATGCCTTACTATGGAAATAGAGAAGAAGAAGCATTCAGCATTCATTGAACAAACATTTATCAAATATTTTTGTTGAAACCATTTTTGATGAAGTTAGACTTCTTGCATACATTATTTTCTTTCTCATATGTGAGTTTTCCTTTCTAGTTATATGTGCTATCCAGTTTTGTTGTTGCTGCTGTTGGAAGTCTTCAAATGATGGGGTTTTATTTGGTAAAGCTGTTTGTGATTTTGTAGTGAGAGTCATTAGCAGAGATGACAAACTTTTATAGTTGCCAGGTCATTTTTCGATACTTTAAATTTTTTTATAAACAAAAATAGGTCACACATATACTTACCGATACTTTTTTTAACGAGAATCTTCCTGCATCTTAGTTGCTAACGTCTTAATTCATGGTTCATATTATGTTGCCTTCAGCTTAATGCATACTGCACTTGTATCCACCATACAAAGGCAATTCCTTGCAATTTTTATATAGTCCATAGCAAGCCATATTTCATGACATCATTTCACCAACTCCACATAGGTCACTAAAAAGTTAATTCATGACCCATGGGTCAGTGATTCACCATCTCTGGTCATCAGGGTCAGTTGAAGGATCCACTTCTTTAAGCCCTAAAAGATTCATTCACTTGACACCAGTTTTAATCATTGATCTGAGAAAACATTTGTATAAAGTTGGCAGTTTATAGTGATTTTCCAAGCGTAGCTCAGATGTGGCACAAGGCCGAAAGTATGGGGCACCCAGTGAGGATCGAACTCACTAATCAGTCATAATTGTTCTAGCGAGACAAGCTTGCTAACCATTACACCACCTTGAGGTGCCCTAGTTGACAGTTTATATATTTCTGAATGAGCTGGGCATCAATATTCAGCATTCACTGACTAAACAGTAAACATTACTGTAAGTCGAAATTTATAAAATCTTTCTCTTAAAAGAGTTTTTCAGGAAATTAGACTTCTAAAGTCCACGGTTATCACTCTTTCTCATATTGACAGGAGTTTCCTGCCAAACCTTTTGTTTTTAGTAGTGTGGAAAACTAACAGGTTCATTATATCTTTATTTTCCCTCATAGTTACATGTGCTACCCAGTTTTCTTGTTGCTGCTGCTGGAAGTCTTCAAATGATGTGGTTATTTTTATTTAATAAAGGTGATTTCTAAAGAAGTATTGGATTTTTAAATTTATTAATCCAACTTATTTTTTTCACTTTAAATGATATTTTTAGTGATTACTCATATTTGAGTAGGAACTCCATTTACTTATAAAATGGTATATTTATTTATTTTTTTCTACCAGCCAGAATATTCAAGGAATTTTATTACAGAAAAATATGCGCTGTTTTGCAGGATTCAAACCCATGTCCCCCTGGGAAGAGGTTTATTACCTCATGGTATTCATACATTTTGTTTGAATTATTTTGTGAATTTAAGATAGATTAAAGAGATCTCATAAAGTTGTTTCACTGTGATTGCTTAAAAAGATGGCATTATGCTATATTTTTAGGATATTTTAAAAAGATGGCATTATGCTATATTTTTAGGATATCTTAAAAAGATGGCATTATGCTATATTTTTAAGATTGCTTAAAAAGATGGCATTATGCTATATTTTTAGGATATCTTAAAAAGATGGCATTATGCTATATTTTTAGGATTGCTTAAAAAGATGGCATTATGCTATATTTTTAGGATTGCTTAAAAAGATGGCATTATGCTATATTTTTAGGATATCTTAAAAAGATGGCATTATGCTATATTTTTAGAATATCTTAAAAAGATGGCATTATGCTATATTTTTAGGATTGCTTAAAAAGATGGCATTATGCTATATTTTTAGGATATCTTAAAAAGATGGCATTATGCTATATTTTTAGAATATCTTAAAAAGATGGCATTATGCTATATTTTTAGAATATCTTAAAAGATGGCATTATGCTATATTTTTTAGGATATCTTAAAAAGATGGCATTATGCTATATTTTTAGGATTGCTTAAAAGATGGCATTATGCTATATTTTTAGGATATCTTAAAAAGATGGCATTATGCTATATTTTAGGATATCTTAAAAAGATGGCATTATGCTATATTTTTAGGATTGCTTAAAAGATGGCATTATGCTATATTTTTAGGATATCTTAAAAGATGGCATTATGCTATATTTTTTAGAATATCTTAAAAAGATGGCATTATGCTATATTTTTAGGATTGCTTAAAAAGATGGCATTATGCTATATTTTTAGGATATCTTAAAAAGATGGCCTTATGCTATATTTTTAGGATATCTTAAAAAGATGGCATTATGCTATATTTTTAGGATTGCTTAAAAAGATGGCATGATGTGTCATTGTGCCTTTCTATGGTAATAGTAAATAGAAAACATTTATGAAGTCTTTTTGTTCAAACCGTTTTTCATGAAATTAGACTATTGTGAGCAGGTGTATGTGTTGAGAGATAAACATGTCTGTCTCGTGAAATGCCCACAACCAACATTGCAGACTTGGGATGTGAATTCATATAAAGTAATGTAAGTAAACAATAAGAACTGATATATATGTACAAACAAATTATAATGTATTAACAAACAAAAGTTTACAAGTAAGAAAGACAATAATGTGTGTAAAAAATGAATGTGGAAACTTAATGAATATATAGTGAGTGAATACATATGTGTGTGTTTGTATTGTTCCTGCATTTCCCAAAAAGGAATGCATTCTTCCGTGAGTGGTTTACATGTTGTTGTATAAGCTGAAAAGTAAGAAGTGAATGATCAAATTTTATCGCCAAGAATTTTATAGCCCTGAAAGCATCCCTTAGTAGCCGTTTTGAAAATTAGGAGGAAGTAACCTGACAGTACATTAGCAAGAAAGATATACATTTTAAATAGTTTTTTTAAGCAAGGGAGCTAATTCACCAATAGTTATATTCGTGGGTAAATTAAAGTTAAGCAATTGAAGTTAAGGAATGCTGAGCCTGGTAAGTACATAGATAAATGACTGTTGAATTATACCAGGGACAGTAAATCCTGGTGTGTGGGTAGTGTGAAGGATAATGACTCAGAATGAGAAACTGGTGAGACAAGATCAAATCCCAGTTCGGTTAGTTACATTCGCTTACACACAAATACTCTTGGGAAAGTTATGAATCTATCTTTTCCCCTCCCAGCTATGCAGGGCAGACTGGGTCCTCTAACCCTGACTGTCAACCAGTCTACTATAAAAAGTCATAAAACCCTACTACAGGAATTCTTCTGGTAAACTAGTCATGAATCAAAAAAAGACATGATTAACTAAGTATACATCATGCATGGCACTGAATGAAGGAGGCACTAGTCACTGCAAAAAGTACTTGTCATTTGTTATTTAGATTTTATGAAATACTAGGCCACCCATAAATGTTGGTTTATGATATAAAATGATAAGGTAACAATATTATCAATTTTATTATTAATTACACATTTTAATTTTATTTTGAAAATGATAAAAGGTTTATTGTTCCAGTGGAGTTCATACTTAACACATTACATGAAAACTTGGAGTAATAGTTTAAAAAAAGGTGTATTCTTTTCCAAAATAATAAGTACGTTTTTTCTTAATTAATAGTTAATAATAAGTAAAAAAAAATTTCCAGCCCCAAAATGAATGAAAAACACCAAAAATGCCTTACTAGAAATAGAGTAGAAGTCCTCATATTGAAACGTTCTCATATCTGAACTTCTCAGTGTTGCCATTTAGATACTGTAGGAATACACTAAGTTCAAATAAATTTATTTTCTTTGCAGTTAATTGTTAGTAGCATGAAATTTCTCAATCCATAATGTCTTGCATAAAAGAAACTTCAACTTGAAGAAAAAGAAAAAGAAATTCTTTCCTGTTACATCAGAAATTATAGATCATTGAAAAACTGGATGAAGCCCCTAATTTATTGAATTTGCAAATTAACTAATATTGCAGAATCTGAACAAAACACTGAAACTTGTGCTTGAAGATTATCCATTGAATATTCTCACTTTAGATGACTTAAAAGAATGGATAAATGAAGACGCTAATGAATTACAAAAGAATCCAACAATTGGATCGCTTGAAAATGACTCCGACTGTCAAGAAATAGAGGAAGAATCAAATTTGCCAAAAATGCTGAAAATATGAAGGATGATGAAAAAGACTGGAACTCAGTAGAGAAATCTATTGATGAGGTCATGAAATTCATGGAGAAAAAAACCTTTGATCATGCTTACTTTAAAAAAAATAGAACAGTGAAAAGTAAGCGAAATGAGAAAAGAAATAAGACAATTAAAAATAAACTTATTGAGCAATAAACATTGCAAATTAATATTTACTTTCGTGAGACACTTCATTTTTCAGATATTGTGATAGGTTCTTGAGTTTTGTTAGGTTATAGTTATATTACACAGGTCACTTTATATCTGAACCTGTCTTCGTATCCAAACTACTCTGAAGTTCAAATATGAGGACTTCTGCTGTATATCCTGATTTAAAGTATGAAAATAAATTATTTTACAATATTAATAGATATATGTTTTACTTCTTTATATTGACATAAAAATTTCTTCCATAAAATGTACTTTGGATACAAAATTAATAATTAATACTAAAGATGGTAAAAGAAGGTTTATTGTTCCACTGGGCTTCATAGTAAACACATTAAGTGAAAATTTATTGTAATAGGTTAAAACAAGTGTAATATTTTTCAAAATCCTAAGTATATTTCTTATTATACATGCTTGAAAATATGTAATAACAGCAAACCCGTAGACATCTCATTTATTTACTATCAAGTCACGAGACACATATACCCTCTTTACTTTTCAAGTAGTTGTTTATAAAAATAGTTCTAATGTAGTGTAGTGAATTGTATAAATATGTTGTGTTATGCATATTTAAATTTATTTATTAATGTTGTTATAATGTATGATGATGTATTTTTCATGTGCATTGAAGAGAAATACTGAATTTCCTATTTAAAATGGTAGAAAAACAAAAAAATGGCCCTTTAATTTTAATGAAATTTGGTACTGCACTCAACCTGGACGTAGCCTCATTGTGAGAGTTTGCTCCAATTTTAGTATTTACCAAATTATAATTTTCAAAGGTGAAGGTCATTCTGAAAAACAAACAGCAAATGTCTGTTTAGGGGGATTGATATTTATTGAAATAGCATAAAGTATTGATGCCTCCTTTTTGTGCACTTAGTTTCATTTTTTCTAGATATTTTTTCAAAATAATAATTACATGTTTTATTATACGTACTCGTTTCTTCCTCAAATTTATTTCAAAATATTTAACAGTAGCAAACCAACATGCATCTATCTATTTATTTAATATCAAGTCATCTGGTACAATTTTCTAGCCATACAGAATACATTTTACAATGACACACCCACGTAGTATCTTCATCTATCATGTACTTGCCAAACATCTTAGATATTTGCTTATAAAAACATTTCTGATATAATGTAGTGAATTGTATAAATGTATGTTGTGTTATGCATTTTTAAATTTATTTAATAATGTTGTTATAATGTATTATGACTGTTTATTATTTTTCACATGCATGATATTGGAATATAATATGTAAGTGTTTGTTTATATATGTGGATTGATATAAGAAGGTGTATTGAAAAGAAATAAGAAATTTCCTATTAAAAATGCTGTAAAAAAAAAATGGCCTTCGCTCAAGAACCCCTTATGTAAATTTAATGTAATTTGTTACTGCACTTTGCAGGGGTCTAAGGTACATTATGCTCCTAAATTGGTTGGGGTATTATGTATAGTTTAATCTCTATCTTGGGAACACACATGCATACATATAAAATTAGTATTATATAGATATAATGAACATAGATTAAAATGGAACCCAAATTGTTACTAAGAATTTCTGTACATGTGATGAAAGGTGAACCATTTTCGCCTCTTGGTGAATTACAAAAGAATAAACTTACCAATGGCACACAGGATTATTTTAGCCTGAAATTAAAAAAAAAAAAGAAAAGAAAAAAAACAGTTAGGATTTAGGCTGATTTATACTGATATAGCTGAATCATGTTAAAACACAGTCCTTGTCTGATCACCTAACTTAAGCAACGTCGAGTCTGTTCAGTACCTAGATGGGTGACCACTTGGGAATACCAGTTGCTGTAAACTTGGATATACAGGTGATGTAGTGTATAACGGCTCAGAATGCGAAAGCAGAGAGCTGAGTTCAAATTTTGGTTGGGTTCATTACATTCACTCAGACATAAATAACCTAGGGCAAATATGAAATGCAAAAGAGACATGATTGCCCAAGCATTTCGCATTAACATGCATCAGGCCAGTATGGTAAGGTAATGGCCATTTCTCCCCCATGAATCTGGAGAAGACCTACGTCCTTCACAGGACCTTTGTAGGCTGAGAAGAAGACCCTGATCAAAAAGCAACATGGGACAAGAATGTCAGCTCATGTCTCTTAACAACAGCACATGTTAGGATCCTTACTGTGAAACATCTAATACAAAATCTTCACTAACACTTGAACTATTGTCCTCATCTTTTTTGCTATTACTATAACATTACAGCGTTTCAGCCACTATGATCTCCAGCCTTCTTCAGGGGTTTGCTAATCTGGGTAATCTTTAAATGAACACTTTATTTAATCTACAGGGGCATAGAGTGTTCTCATTCCATTGCTCATGTCTTGTTTATGTTAAGTACAGCACCGTTATTCCTTAGTCTTTCCCAGTGAGTCAAAGTCAGAACAATCTGACCCAGGGATTGAACTCACAGTCACTACGACACTAAATTCTCAAACTAATGCTCATTTTTTCTTTTTTTTCTTAAATGACAGTCACTCTTTACAAGGCCTAGGAGCCACTCGAGGTAGAGGAGTACATTAGGAGGTCATTTGTGTGTAAAGGTGAGAAAGATAATAATTAACACTAGCCTTGAATAGGTTAAGATTGTAATGATTGCGGAAACATTGTGCTGGGAGCCAATTCCACAGGGCAATGGTTCATGGTGTTACGTGTTGATAATTGTAACAAAGAAAAAAAAATGATTTACCACAACACAGAACTAAATCACAAACAAATATTTAATTTAATAAAACACAACATAAAATATATACAAGATAAACAATTGTGGCCTACAAAACAGAAAACACAGAGTTACTGGCGAAGTGTTACAAGGGAGAAGGAAAGGGAGTCAAATATCTTTATCACTTTAGGGCTAGTGAAGTAATCTAAGTGCTATATTTGGAAATCCACAAAGGTGTGTAAATAAATATTAATTTTTAGTTTGGTCAATGAAAATTAGTCAAAATTCTATTTACCAAATTTGTTCCATGAAATTCTCTTTTGGGTTTTTGTTGGTCAGCAACTTTTTATAGAGATTCTTTCAGCTGGATATAATAATCCTCGAATCAAAAGCTGGAGTTGATAACAGCAGAAATTCTCATTCACCAACTGACAACCCTTTTCCAAAATCCCATTTTTATAGGGGCTAACACCTAATTTGCATATTTCTAGATGTTTCTCGAATCATCTAGATTTTTCTCGAATATACTAGAATGATCTAGAATCTTCCAAACATTCTATTTCTAATTTCTCTATTTTACAACTACTTCATGAATGAAAACTTTTTTGTAATAACAAGTCGAACTCAAAGGAATCCCTTATTATAGAAATGCATCCTCGTAACAATGGGAAGAAGCTGCTCGAGTGGAAGCTACTTCTCACTGCTGGAATATGGAGGGAATGTGGGTGATTTGAGACTATGGAAGTGACATGGCGGGTCCTTGCCGTGAAGGTTTGCCTTGGCAGGACCAGGGAATGCAGTTCGTTCAAGTACTTTCCACCCAACTTTAATCTGCAAAAATTTAAATGCAATGTCAATCAATATTTACTGTCTTCTTGATTACTCCTCTAGCGTAGTCGAGAGTGAACAACATCAAATCAAAGGAGCAAATGACAAAATTGAAGTCACCAAGGGCTCTGTGCAGCCTTCCGGGTTTTAAACATACTTCAAATTTTCAATTTAATAAAAATAAATAGCCAATAAAAATAAAATCAGCTCCCGCCAATAAATAAATGCAGGACTCTGGGGCCTAAACAATATGACATGAATCAACCTCGGCGTCTTGTCTTTGTCATCAAAGCAACAACAGGATCCCTTTGATCTTCTCTCCCGACTCCACTTTCTCTCTTCCTCACTGAAAGTCTATTAATGTTCACTTCCTTACAGTCAAAGAGAAGAACGTTTTAACTTCCATTTCATGATAAGTAATCACAGTTAAAATTTGTATGTCTAACATTTAAATAAATATTTTATTTGAAATTACAAAAATCTTTTCTCTCATGTTTTTTGTTCAGCATATGGTGACCCATGGAATCATTTCCCCAAAACTCTTCTCTTTCTACTCATCGTTATTGTTTCTGTTTCTAATCCTTCCACACCTTTTGACTCCTTGTGTTTTAGTGGCATTACTGCCTTGCATGGAGTGATACCAATTAAAATAAAACAAAAAAAGAAGAAAAATGGGGGTGCTTAATCAAGAGGTTGACAATCCAAACTACTTCAAATACAAGGTTAGGAATGTTTTGTTATAATGGTAATATTAGCTATTTTCCTGCAAGGAAACATTCAGCATTCATTGACCAAGCAGCCAGTACTGCTGATGGTTGAAATTTATAAAATCTTTCTCTTAAACAATTTTTTGTGAAAATAAGTTTCTCAAATCCAGTAGCTGTTATAACTTTTACCAGTATTGATGGGGGTTGTTATGATATATTGCATGTCTGGATAGCTCGGATTGATAACAGAAACAAAGGTATAGTTAAGTATACATTTAGTTACACTCAACAGCCATTAATGGGGACAAGAAGTGAGTCTTCTAAAGACAGTTAATACCCATAAACACTAAAGATCTATGGCAATGATTCCCAACATGGGGCGCATGCTCCACTGGTGCAGCATGGTAATATTTTGGTGGGGCATGAGTAGGATGTGCACCCTTTGGTTTACTATACCAACGTGAGCTCAAATTTCATTTTGCATTATTATTTCATGATTAATATGATCAAAGTATATTTAATTTTTTTTTTTTTTTTTTTTTAAGCGTTTCACTCCAAGCAAGGCAGGAAGCCACTAGGACGCAAGGGGTTACAGAACATTTGGAGCAAGATCAGATAGGAGTGATAGAAGAAAGGATGAGGAGAAGGGTAGTGGATAGATCAAGGTGACTGGAGATGTCGATTGACATTACATTTGAATAGCTGGAGAATATAGCTCTAAGGGAAACTGGAATAGGGAAGGGAGTTCCACAGGTGAGAGGTGTGAGACATGAAGCTATTGGAGTAGAAGAGATGTCTAAATTTAGGACAGTGAAGGGGTGAGAGCGGGATGCCAGCCTCGTAGGGCGTTTGAACTCATGAAGTCTGGGAACCAGCAAATGCAGCTCCTCGGAACAATTGCCATGAAAGTATTTGTAAAACAGACAGAGAGAGGCGACAGCGCATCTGTGAGAAAGTGACTGTAGACGAGATGCCAGATCAGGGCCAATTATATTGCATATCCGCCTCTGGAGCCTATCAAGAACTCGAGGCAAACAGAGGGGCTCCAGACCATATATGGCAGCAATACTCCATGCAAGGGCGAATTGTTGATTTGTAGATCTGGAGGATCGATTCCGGGGAGAAAAATTTCCTGGCGTGGCACAGGGAGCCAACTTTCCTTGCGGTGGATGAAGCAATTGACTCAATGTATTTGTTCTATCTCAGGTCAGCCATCAACATGAGACCGAGCAGCCGCAGAGAGGTGCTCTCAAGAAGTTGAGTGTCAGACATTAAATATTTTATATTTCTGCCTTTCAGTTCTCTATTATATATTTTGAAACTATATTTAACTGCCTTTTTTGTTTTTTAATTTCTCTCTTTCATGGACACCATGGTCTTTGGAGGTTTGTTTAGAGACCAAGTTAATGGCCTTTTAAGCTTCCTTCATGTGAATTGCAGAAAAATTTGAATATTTAAGAATTAAATATTATGGAGTTCACCAGAATTTTAGAAATATTTGGGAACCACCTAAGGGAAATGTTTAGCTTGGCATCTAAGTTACAGCATGCTAACACATCTCCATCCTATAAAGTAGGGAGGATAATATTCATGGCATCAGAGATCCAGCCTATGTGGTACTTTCAAGGGCCTGTCAGTTCTATTTGTGTATGGTTCAGCATGAGGGAGTGGGGCTTGTGCAGCAGGCAATGATGTAATGGTGCAATTTAACATTGGTAGTTGATGCATTGGCATTGAGTGCTGGTGAGTAGTCATGTCTGCTGCTCCACAGGATTTTTGCCAAAGTAGTTCTTGTAGGCCTTAAGAATTGCCTGTTTCTGCAATGGATGCTGCCATCTACAGATTCAACCATACATAACCTTGTCTCCACAGTGGTCTGTCACCAATGCAGGTTCCTATAACTTGTTTTTCTAATCCTGAATGTGAACTTATTGACTTACATGTAAAGGTGGATGCTGGTGACTATGCTGTTTCTGCAATGCACAGGGTCATTGCAATATTCAAATCCCTGCATTCTTTTAATAATGCTTTTTGGGTTAATTAGAGATTCTTCCCAACTGCAACTATAGGGTCATATTCACACTGTTTACTATCTGCGTTAATCTCTTGAGGAAGGCATGAGCAGGTTCATTTGCATCTTGGTGGCACTGCATCAATTTGTGTCTAGACACTCAGAAATCGGATCACATTATCCTTGAAGCATTTAATGTAGTTACAGCACAAGGTAAGATATAATTTATTTTCTTTGCATTGTTCATGCGATGATGTGGTCTGCCAAAATATACTTTGATCTGACATAAGAAACTGATCATTTCTTTTCCTAAATTGGGATGGAACCAATCCATCCTTGGTGTGGGTCTATGAAAGGTTTCCATTATAGTGTACAAGAGATTCAAATAGTAATAGTAGAAGTCAAATTACTCTTACCTTGATGGTACATGTGAGCATGTGGTTATTTCAAATGTGTGAAATGTCATCCAAACTTGTCAAAATATCACTGTAAATCATTATTATCTGATGAATAATACCTTGTGCCTATTTTTTCACACTTTTTTTCTCATTCTGATACCATGTTATGATACAACAGACTTCAGGATAGCTCAGATTGATAAAAGAAACTTATGTATGGTTAGATATATGTTTATTTATATTTGGCAGCCATAACAATAATGCAGACAGGAAATAGGTCTTCTAAAGGAAGTTAATGTCTGGAAACACTAAAGAGCTGAGAGGAACATTTAGCTTGGGATCTAAGAATCTCAGAATGCTAATACAACATGGGCTTCCTTCTTAATCTTCTATTTGAAGTAGTGTGTCATGTCAACATCTTGATTATTTCATTATATTACTTTTAAGTTACAAGTGCTATCCATTTTAGTTGTTGCATCTGTTGGTCATCTTTAAGTTTTTGCTATTTTACAATTACTATTTTGTGATTCTATAGCACTTGTCTATAAGATTTTAATGCATGATTTTCTTCTTTAAGACCACTTGAAGCTATTCTTAATCATTGATCTGAGAAGACAGTTGTTTTTTATCTGATAGTTTAGACATCATTTCTGACTTAGTCAGGCACCATACATGACATGCATATGAAAGTCTCGAGCTGATGAATTTATGTATGAACATCACTCAAGTTTTCAGGCCAATGTTTTGGTTTTGTAGTAAATTGCAATGTTGGTTGAAACTACCACAGGTGGACCCTATTCTATGTTTAATCTCCTTATCTCCGACATTCAATTTTGTTATAAGTGAAATATAACATATTTAAATTGTTCAGAATTTATTAATTCTAAGTGAATTAGAGAATAAAAAAAGGAAAACAGTGAACAAGTCTCACCTCCTCTGGGGTCTCCGCTTCAAAAATACGACAGATGAAATTCTGTGCAAGACTGCAAGTTGTCTCCCTTTACAAAAATAGAGACAAAAATTGAATTTGAAAAAAAAGCACATTGTGAAATTTAAATGAAGAAAAGAAATTTATAATCATTATGTTGATTAATCCATTTAGGAATGACTGCAGAACAATTTCCCCTCCCCTTTTATAGCAAAAAGCATACAAATTCATGCTGGGATTTTTTTTTCTCAGCTAATAAAACAGGCCAGTGTGCAGTTTGATATGACTCAGTCTTGATCTCCCTTCTAAAAACACTATGTTCGCTTGTCAGAACTTGATTTTGTGTATCGACACTGGTACTTAGTTTGTGAACTTTTTGCCTTCTTACTGTTAATTTGCCTTACATATATTGTTTGCATTCTTCCTTGATATCATTTCATTTTTGTCCTGTTTCTTTTTCTTTTTCTTGCAAACTTTGTTAATTATCTTTGTTTGACAGTTCTGTTATTTATTTTGCATTTGACAATGGCTACTCATCCCACAAATGATCATGGTATTTGAATCACATAAATTTTATGGGAATAAATAATACTACACAATTTCATGCAAATAAAAAGGTTTAAATCAAAACAGTAAAAAAAAAAGGTTTAAATCAAAACAGTAAAAAAAAAAAGGTTTAAATCAAAACAGTAAAATATTTTCATCAATAACTATAGGGTGCTGATGTAATGAATAGGTATACACCTGGGTTCCCCCTCACAGTAATATGATTGGCTGGTGTCAGCCGTAAATACAGACTGATGTACGACAACGCTTATTGCCTACGCCTATTGCCTATCATTACGACAAGGACCAGTCCATTACGGTTACCTGCTAGATTGTCATACTTGGTTACAGTAGTCCAAAACCACTTTGCTACTTTGAACAAATATATCCCTTTCCAGAACATATCAGGTGCGATGGGTAAGTTTTATATTTTAATTTCAGGCATGTGTGTGGTTTGTTTTTGATTTTATTGACAGCACAGCATAGTAGGGTCAGTTGGGCACCAACTATGAGAAAAAGAGCACCATGATGCAAAGTCACTTTGCAATAAATTTGGAAACAGCGTGCTGTACTGCTTGACATTCACAGTGGAAGCTCCAATAAGAACATTTCAGAATGTTTGGATGCCAGTCATGTGCACAAGATTCGGAAAGTGTTGTACGAGTCTAATAGTGATTACAAAGGTACAGCAGCTTAGAAAATTTACTCTAATTATTCTAATAAAAAAAGAACTCCCAAATTTGTTAGTGAGGACTTCAGACTCAACATAGAGATTTACATCAAGTGCCTTGTGGAGGTAGTGCTGCCCTGGGTGAAGAGGATGGCTGTTAGAAGACCCTGTGTCTGGCAACAGAATTCTACACCATGCCTCTGTCAGATGATTTTTGCAATCGCATTACCCCTCACATCTGGCCACCTAACTTCTCAGACTGCACCCCACTTGATTATTATGTGTGGGGCACAGTTGAGCAAGAGACCAATAAAACACTGTGTAACACCAAAGATGAGCTAAAGGCAAGGATTAACCAACTTAAACACGGGGACTGTCCAGAACAGTTGCAAGAGATTCTTAAGTCATCTGAAGGCTGTAGTTGAAAACAATGGTGATTTTATTAAATAAATTTACTCTTTGGTTTTTCAAGATATTTTTTGTGTAATTTTGGTAAATATATCTGTTAAAATGAAAGGTCAGTGTTATTTTCATTTTTGCACAGTTTAAATGACAATTTATCCCTTGCACCGTGTACAGTCAGAAATTGATTACTGACTTTTTACAGAGTTACCTGGACTTAGTCTGTTATTTACAAATTTCAAGTTTGAAACTCTGCTTATATCATCAGCATATTTTGTTTAATTTTCTGAAATTTTAAAGCTTTTTTTTTTACATTGGTTGAGTATCCTTTATCTTAAAATCAAAAAGTTTTTCAGGTGCTGAGATGACTTGCCACAAATGGAAAATTTCACTGTACTGGGAAGATTACTAGGTGATGTTCAGCTGTTGTAAGTGACCTCATCCACACTGGGTGGGGGTTCACCAGCACAGCTATGTAACCAAAGTTGGCACCAGTTTTTTGCTAGCGATCTTCACACCTTCAATCGTAGATTGTTTACAAGGTGTTTTATGCTCAGTAAAGATATTATTCAAAAGGTGAAAAAATCCTGCATTTATATATTTTTTGTAAGTAGTGATCATGTATTTTTTACACATACAGGAAGTACAAAACATTATTCTTATGTGAAATCTTAATTTCACCATTTAAAAATCTGTGTGAGCATTACATGACTAGTATCATTACCTGTATCCATATGTACACAATATATATTAAATTTTATATAAAATTACTTTCAAGGCATATTTTATTTATATAAAACTATATTTAGGGTATATATTATTTATATAAATCTATTTTCAGTGTATATTTAAAACAACTCCCTTCAGGGTATATGTATAAACTGTGATATGAAATGCAAAAAGATATTGTGTTTATGCTTGGGTTCCATTCCCAAGCTGCCCCATTTTATGTCAGATGTTATATAGAAATTAAATAACCTGTATTCCTAAATCCAAAACATCTGAAAACTGAAGCATTTCCAGTGCCAAGAATTTTGGGTAAAGGATTCTCAACCTGTATTAATATTTAACATAAATATACTTTAAAAATTTTCCCAACATCTGTGGGTAATACCAATTTTATTGTGAAGACATTCATTTGTATCATAATATCTGACATAATGTAATAATTCTAGGATAGATCAATTTATTATTTAATAACAATAGAAATCCAAACCCATACTTTATTTCCAGTAGAAATGTATATTGATATTTAACATAAATATGTTTGCAGCTGAGTATGTTTGTGTCTCCACCCATTGCTGGTATTAATTGTGTGTCTCCCTACAACTTTTAACTCTTTGAAAATTGACCCCCTGATGAGAATGAATGAGTATTTTTCTAAGTAGTGATCATGTTTTTTGTACACATCCTGAGAGTACAAAACATTATTTTTACGTGAAATTTTAATTTCAACACTTAAAAATCTGTGTGTGAGAATTACATGACTAGCATTATTACCTGTATCTGTAAGTACACAAAATTTATTCAATTTTATATAAAACTACTTTCAGACTATATGTATAAGCAGTGTTATAAAATGAAAAGGGATATCATATTTATGCTTGGGTTCCAGTCTGAAGCTGCCCCATTTGATTGATGCTATATACAAATTAAATAGCCTGTATTCCATAAAGGATTCTCAACCTGTACTAAGGTGGGGAGGGATTTTTTCAGAAGAACATGCACAAATATTGAGGGGTAATAATTATTTATTGGAAATGAAGTAAAAACCGATAAATAGTTTTCACAGGCATGTGTATGTGTTGAAAGATAAACGTGTGTCTCCTGAAATGCCCACAACAAACATGGCAGACTCGGGATGTGAGTCCATGTAAAGAAGTGAAAAGAAAGGACAAGAACCAATATTTATGTACAAACAAATAATGATGTGTTAACAAAGGTATACAAGTGACAAAGACAATAAAGGTATACAAGTGACAAAGACAATAATGTGTCTAACAAATGAATGTAAAAACTTTTTGGGTACAAAGTATGTGCAGTGAGTGAATGTGTGTACATATGTGTGTGTCTATGCATTGTTCATGCGTTTCCCAAATGGGTATGCATTTTTCCATGAAGGACTTACATGTTGATGTGCAAGCAGAAAAAGTAAGAAGAGAGTGAGAAGATTACATCACAGAGGATTTATAGTCTGGAAAATGTCTCCTAGTAGTGGTTTTGAAAATTAGGAGGAGCTAACCCAACACACTTTTAATATTTTATGTAATTTTTTGTTCTTTCATTAAAAATGTATGTATCTGTTTTTTCTTTATGTAAAAGAAATCTTTTTGTAAAAAAAATAAAAAAGTGTTTTTGCATGCAGAAAAACTAAGTCCGCAAGAAGTCATGGTTTCATTTTATACTATGTTGTCATTATGAACCAGATCCTGTTGTTAAGTGATAAAAAAAATCTGTATTTTTTTTTTATTTTTGAGAGATGTGCTGCGAGGAAGATCTAAGGAATTTACAAAAATTATTCCCACCCACAATTATTCTCTATTTGTTTATGAATGGACAAATCTACTTAAGAAGTGCCACATTTCATGGACAGACTAAAATTTAAGCATTAATTTTAAGCATTCCTATTGGCCAGAAAACATAACTGATAAAAATTCAAGTTCAAATTTCATCGGTGTGTGAACCAACTTTTATACAAAAACATCCACCAGATAATATTGTTTAAAGCAACAAAGGAATGAAAAGAAAATTAAAGAGAATAAAAAGTCAATATTTTCTGACTGGGTTAGACAGTTACTAAGTTACCAAGATATTTTTTTAAGTTGCTTTGTTTTCCTGGCAACACCACCGTCTGCACTCAATCAATTCTTGTCCCTTTCTAAATTTTTACAGCTTAAAGAAAACAAATCTACCCTTCCTATTAAGTTTCCTTCCTATTCCAAAAGAAATGAATCTTGTTTATTACCAACTCTAATTTATTTTATATAAACTCTTTTAATGTAATATGGAAGTGCAGTTGAGAAATACTAATACAATAAACACAGAAATAAAACTTAACTTTTGTCAAAATATGCCTTTATTTTGACAAACATGCTCTCATCCTAACTGCTCTACTCTCAAGCTTTCGAGCATTGTACTCTCCAGACTTTTTCAGGTATTTTTCTACTTGCTAACCTTATCAGAATTTCAAAGTGAACCCTTTATTCAAGAGGTTACTGAGTACAAAAGCAAACACCTCAAGAAAGCTGGATAGTATAACTGCCAGAATACAAATATGAAGAATTACTACCCCAACTTAGAACTACAATTCACACATTCTTACCACTCACAACACACTAAAATATATTTATAAGTATTTTATAATTTCAAAAGCACCAATTGAAGATGCCGTAAGGATACTGAACTACTTTGGCAAAGTTTAATTTAGGATCTGGCAACAAAAATGGATACTTTTCTTTCAACACTACATACTTCCTTGGTAATTTTTATTGCTTCAGAAATTAGAATTTTAATAAAGCCATAACATAAAGGGTGGAATGGGTAAATTGTCGCCATTTTGTATTTTTAATTTCTTGCATGCACGTTGTTTGTTTTTGTCTACTGCACAGTATAGTAGGGTTAGTCGGGCACTGTCTCTGAGAAAGAGAGTACCATGATGCAATTCACTCTGCCAGAAAGTTGGAAATGGCATGTTGTAATATCCAATACAAACATTCCAGAGTGAATGGATGTCAATCTTAGGACTGTGCAGAAGATTCAGAAAGAATTGGATAATATATCCAGCCAACATCATTTTGTTTGGAGTGATCACTAGTGATGTCAATGTTATTCCTCCATTCATCTTCCCACAGAGCCTTCCAAATTTGTTGGTGAGGGCATCAGACCCAACATGGAGGCCGACATCAAGTACCTTGGGTAGGTAATGCTGCCCTGGGTGAAGAGGGTGGCTGCTGGAATACACTATGACAAAAGAACTTTGCACTATGCCACATAAGCAGAAGAACCCAATCATGGCTGTCAGACCATTTCTGTAACCACATCACCATTTACATCTGGCCACCTAAGTCCCCAGACTGCAACCACCTTCATTATTATGTAAGGGGTACATTTGAGTGAGAGACCAACAAAACTCCTTCTAACACTAGAGATGAACTGAAGGTAAGGATTATGGCAGCATTCAACAAATTAAACAAAGAGATCATCCAGAAGACTTGTAGGAGATTCCAAAGTCATCTGTAGGCTGTAGTTGAAGCCAATGGTGATTTTATTGAATAAATCTACTCTTTAGTATTTCAAGATATTTTTTTGTAATTTGGGCAAATGTATCTGTTAAAATCAGATGTCAGCGTTATTTTCATTTCTGCATAATTTAGACAATTTATCCATCGCACCCTGTATGACAATGAATTCATAGATTTTTCTCAATAGATTTGTTTTTTACAGTTCATCAACCTTTTGCAAGTTACTTAATACCAGCAAACTATAAACAGTTTATTTACAATATTATAATGATCACTTGTGAACAGGGCCAGTGAAAGGATATGTCCCCCACCCAATCTATGATACCCTCCTGGTTCCCCCTCTCCACTGAATCTATGATACAGGATTCCCACTCTACAACATCTCAATTTTCATAAGGTAGTATTCATATAAAGTACACATTTCATTGTAACCTAATTATGTACAATAGTGGATCATATGCAGTATAGGTGAACAATTCAGCTAGAAAAATTGAAAATAAATACAAAGTATTTAAACACGATAGATTTAAATAGTTTTAAATTTAATAGATCTTTCCATCTTAAATAAATCAACAATGTTTTTCAGCAATTTTTAACATCAACTGGAAATTGTTTCCATGTTAAAAAGTTGTATAAATTTAACACATTCAACATTATGGATAAAAAAATAGTGAATTTAATAGACTTAGCATGAGCAAAACAAGTTCATGGATTTGGATAAAAAAAAAGACCCCAGAATGATGTCAAAATCTGAAAAATATTCTTCATCTTTTAATGGTTAGTTGCACTTAATTTAATTTGTAATACATTATGAAATGGACAAAGTCCGACAATTATTTTTAAGACATTTTTATGTTTAACATTCTTTTTATAAATACAAATATTTAAGTAAATGCTCTGTTTATAATAAACAATATTAAACAACATTTACTGGCCTGAATGTCTGGGAAATTTTCATAAAAAAATTTTCATTTTCATGTCGGAGGACGAATATTTTCTATGAAAATTTCTCGGACATTCAGGCCAGTAAATGTTGTTTAATACTGTTTATTATAAACAGAGCATTTACTTAAATATTTGTATCGATAAAAAGAATGTTAAACATAAAAATGTCTTAATTAATTTGTAATGTATATAAATTTAGGTAGAGAAAAGCAAATTTTGATAAAGATAGTGAAGGTCACAAAGCACTACTCTGGGCCCCCAATCAGGCAATCGTTTTGGGTGTAGTATACACTGACCCTGCTTGTGAATGTTTTATAAATGGCTTGTTATAGGTTTGCTAATTCTAAAAATACTTTTTTTAAAAGCAATAACAAATTACAAAGGGAATATACAATAACAGCATCAACAGATGAAAGGTCCTTTTTCACAGCTTTTTTTTGTTTGGTCCTAATTTAAACTTAACCTTTGACATCAACCAGATCAAGTTCCTTACTTTCATATAGAATTATTCCAGCAAAACACTAATAATCCTGCAAACATGTTTTATCAATATATTTTACAATTATTTTAAATCCATATTGTCTGTTAATTTCATTATCAAATATACTGTTGAAATGTTCTATCGAGTAATTGTCAATATTGTATATTTTGTTACACCTTTTGTGCCATAGTTTACACACATAATAGGTTCTCTGTGTCAGCACCTAACAATTTTTCTCACCTAAATCTATTTTGCACGTTTATGAATCAACCATTCCATGCTGCTGTCATATCTGATTGGGTGTTCGTGCAAGAGTGATTTACTAAATGTAGCTTAGATGTGGCAGATGGGTAAAAAGATGGGGCACCCAATGAGGATTGAACTAGCAGTAGTAGTGACTCAGTTGTAATTGTTCTAATGAGACATGCTTGTTAACCATTATACCATATCGAGGTATCCTTGGTACTTTTGTTATATATCTTGAGATCCTTGCCAAAATCCAAAAAATAGTATGTAATGGCTCCTGACATGACATCTTAGCTTCAGTTACTTTCTCACCAACATAATGTAGTTTCCCCTGCGTCTTTTCTATAAATACTTTCATGATAAGTGTTCTAATAAGTCCTCCATGGTAATTTGACCATATGAATTTAAATGCACTACTAGATTGGAAATTAGGTCTCATTGTTTTACTATGAAAATAGAAAGATATAACTGTAAGCCCAATTCTAAGAGTTTCTTTTCACACAATTCTTGTCTATGGAACTCTCTTTCAACTTGCATTCTAGTCAACTACAATCATCAAAACTTTAAATGCAAAAAGGATATTTTTATATTAAGTATATGAAAATGTGTATGGCAATATAGCAATTATTATTGGATAGAGGTAATATACTTTTGAAAAATGTTATTATTATTATTATCAAAATTACTGTCCAATTATTATTATCCCAATTATTCTTCTATATGCCATGTCATTTCAGGATATTAGTGATCATGTCTCTCCACAATTTCCTGTCCATTCTAGCTTTTAGTAAATTTTGACTTTTTGTTATCTCTCCCGAAACCTGTTCTACCAACCATTTACACAAGCTCATTAAGCAGGGGTTTTGTGCTGTTTTCTTCTGTTCCTCTTTCCTTCAATACATCCTGTGAGTATCAAATTTTCCAAGTCTTCTTTCACATTATGTGAAATTTCAAATATCTCTTTATGATTCTAAGTATGTGTCCTTTCTGTTTCCATTTTCTATAAAACTTTCTTGTTGGTCACAGGTTCACTCTATGGTATTCTCATCATCCTTCTGTAGAGACACATTTCTATTGCCACAATTTTCTTTATCCTCTGTGAGGAGATTGTCCAGGATTCATTGTCATATAGGAGGACTGATATTACATAACAGTTCAGTACTCTTTTCTTTGTTTCTAACAACATTTTCTTGTTTTCTTAATACTTGTTTAACTTTTGGAAATAATTTTTTGCTATCCCATTACACGTTTGAATTTCATTGTCACACTTTCTGTCCTCTGTTAAAACAATTCCTAGATATTTAAATTGTTGTATTTGTTGATTTTGGTATCTCCAATTTATAATTTGCATGTTGAGCTGCTCCTTTTGCTAACATTCATACATTCTATCTTCTTGCAATTGATGTTTAATCCTTTCTCTTTGCTTTACTTCAGGAGTTCTTGTTGTTTCCTTTGTATGTCTGCTATCAACACTGGGTCATCTACATATCTTATGTTGTTAAGATTGTGGCTGCCAATAATGAATCCTAGACTTTTCTCAGAATCACCTCACTGTAGAGGTTGAATAAGTCTGGTGAAAAGACAAATCCTTGTTTTAAGCACCTTTCTATTTTGGGATATTTACTGAATTCAATTTCTATCCATATGCAGCTCCTAGTGTATGTCCTGGAGTCTGTTGGATTGCAATTTTGTAATAATTAGTGTTTGGAAAGGTGTATGGAAATGTAACATTTATTAACAGACAAAGGTAATATGCTTTTGAAAAAAAAATCTTATAATTGGTATTTTTATGTCCTATAATGGTAGTAATGGTACTGTCCCACATTTAGGGCATGAAATACAAAAGTAACAACTAATATGGGATTGAGGTAATATTTTACACATAAATTTTAAAACAAAAATTAACTTTAGTCATCAGCAAATGAAACAGGCAATCTCACTAGACACAAACTGAAGGACACCAATGAAAATAGCCACAATGATACTGCAAAAAAACCCCAAAAAACACATACACTTACCCTGCAATATAAGCAAATATCTTCAAAGAATCCGTTCTTCTGCCACAAGAAGATATTTCAGTGAAGCTATGCCGGTAAGCAATCTGAAAGCACAAGTGATACTTTTATATCATTGAAACATTTTCTCTTAAAACTGAAGCAACAGAAATGTGGTTCTACAGAAGGATGCTGAGAATACCGTGGACTAAATATAGGAGCAACAACAAAGTTCTAGAGAGAATGAAAATGAATAGGACTTTTATACTTAACATCAGGAAGAGAAAGTTGAAATTTCTAAGGCACATAATGTGGAAGGAGGGCTTGGAAAATTTTATACTCACAGGACAGATTGGAGGCAAGAGGGACATAATAAAACCACATACAACCAACCTGGTGAGCTTCAGTGAGTGGATGGTGGAGAAGGGTTTAGGAGAAATAGCAAAAAGACAAAATTTATTAATAGCTACAAGGGACAGGAAATTTTGGAGAGCCATGATCTTCAATATCCTGAAGGGACACAACATATAGAAGAAGAAGGAAATAATATCAGTTGAAGACATATTAGAATATTGGAATTGAATTATATTAATAATTACTGTAATTTCTTGAAAATAATATGCATTTTTTTTTTACTGTAAATTACAGGTGATAGTAGGAGTGTGTATTATAAATAGGTTTTAACAAAAATATTTTTTTCATTATTGATTTATAATAATAAATACGTACTTGATGTTCTAAGATAAGAATGATATTATCCCAATTTTCATTTTAAATCCAACAATAATAATTGTAACATTTTTTTATCAATAAATTTATGTCTATCAGTAACCGCATTTTTATTTGGCAAAAAAATCTATAAAATGTTCAATTTCGAAGAAAAGAGGATATCAAATTAACAATTTATTGAAATTTTAATTTTCATCATCATCATCATCATCACTTTCTATTATAGAATCAATATCTAAATTGTCATTAAACAAATTATCATTCACAATATTATCTTCGTCCTGTTCAAAATTATCTTTGGCCTCTTCATTCTCTCATCAAATGATGTCATCTTCACAGATATCCATGGCTGTCATGAGACAACACTTCTTGAAATCTCTTTTTATAACATCCTCGCTGGCGGAATCCCAAGATTCCTGAATTCATTTTAAAATTTGCACTATAACTTGCACATTTTGATGACATTTTGGTGGTAAAATAAAATGTTATATTTATTGAGAAAACCACATGGTTATTTCCAACATTATTTTACCCACTTAGTTTTGATTTTATTCTTAATGTCAAGGTCAACAAAATGTCTTCGTAATTATTTTTTTTGTTTTTTTTGACAAAATTTATAGATGCATATTATACATAGGGAGAGAATATATTTATTAATTTTTGGCTCATTTGTTGGGGTGAGTATTATTTATGAGTACATATTATTTTCAAGAAATTATGGTAAATATAATTTAACTAACTGAATATTATTTAACTATAAATACTGGTGAAAATTTTACAGTTTTGCTATTTCATATCTCTGATGAACTATAATTCTTAAGTTAATGATTGAATAAGTCTCTTGTGAGTTCCACATCTATAAAACAGCCATAGAAACTCTCCTATTTCATCATTAAATATTTTTAAAAAATATTGCAATAACAATCATAAATATGAATGCTGGGTATTAAAGATGTAAAGAAAAGGATACAAATGAAATTTCCATTATTTTAAAATCATTTGATCCCAAACAAAATAAACAGGTTAATGATTGACATCGCATTTAAATTTTTGAACATTAAAATTGACTGGAAAACAAGAAGATGGAAGATTTTGTTGTTTGTTTTTGTTTAGCAGAATATCAAATTCTATAGGTTATTTAGCGCTGAAATCTAAATATTTTCATAAAAAATTTGATTGGAGATAATAATAGTTTTAGTGATACAAGTCTTACTAATTAACCTATAGATGTGGGGAGAAGAGGTGAATTCATACCATTACCAAGTTTATTTGCATGTAAGAGATTACAACGAACCCAAGTGGAATCCGATAAACTATTCTGTGTCATTATCTATTATACCACCTGCACATTAAATCTTATAGTACCTAGTATTTCCAAATGGTTACCCATATATTTAGTGAACAGACACAACGTTGCTTAAATTTGGTGGTCATATGGGAACTGTTGTTTCAGCATGATTTGGCTGTGAGCCCAAGAAGCCAGAAGAGAGTTCCACAAGAAGTTTGACAGAAACTGTTAGTATAGAACTTACGGTTACATCTAGCCATTTCAACAGTAAAATTACGAAACTCTGTTGCCAATCTAGTACCACGCTTAAATCCATAAAATCTACATAACAAAGAGGAAATTTCAGTGAAGGAGTTCTTGTTGTTTCCTTTGTATGTCTGCTATCAACACTGGGTCATCTGCATATCTTATGTTGTTAAGATTGTGGCTGCCAATAATGAATCCTAGACTTTTCTCAGAATCACCTCACTGTAGAGGTTGAATAAGTCTGGTGAAAAGACAAATCCTTGTTTTAAGCACCTTTCTATTTTGGGATATTTATTGAATTCATTTTCTATCCATATGCAGCTCCTAGTGTATTGTCCTGGAGTCTGTTGGATTGCAATTTTGTAATAATTAGTGTTTGGAAATGTGTATGGAAATGTAACATTTATTAACAGACAAAGGTAATATGCTTTTGAAAAAAAAATCTTATAATTGGTATTTTTACCACATTTAGGGCATGAAATACAAAAGTAACAACTACTATGGGATTGAAGTAATCTTTTACAACTATTATGGGATTGAGGTAATATTTTACAACGTAAAACACATGAGTGCATTATCACTTCCTCTATCTTCCCTTTCTTTTTTTTTCTTACTGAAATCAAATAGTGTCTCTGATATGTCTTTTCCATATTTCTCCACAATCAAAATGGAATAGTCCATTATTTATGAGGTACTGGCAGGGCATAAAACACATGCTAAGGAACAAGTAGAATCATAATATAATATTAATGTATTAATTATATCGATATTAATTTTATTAATTAATTGAATAATATTCTTTTCTTTCTTTTTATGTGCCATGTCCTTTCAGGACATAGGCAATCATGGCTCTCCACCTCCTCTATCCCTTGCAGCTCTATACAAGTTCCTTCCCTCTGCTTCCTCCCCCAGACCACGTTCTGTCATCTACTTGCTTAAGTCCGCCAGGTATGTCACGCATTGTTTTCGCTTGTCTCTCTTTCCATCTATTCAACCCATGTGTATCAGATTCTCCAGGCCCTCCTTCCTCATTATGTTTACCAAAAACTTCAGCTGCCTCTTCCTGATATTAATTATAAGCCTCCTCCTTGTTTGCAACCTCTTTAGGACCTCATTGTTGCTTACATGCTCGGTCCAAGAGATCCTTAGCTTCCTTTTGTAGAACCACAACTGCCACCTTGAGTCCCTTCTTCATCTTTGAGGAGATTTTGTAATTTCTTTTCCGTATCTGCTATCAGTACTGTGTCATCTGTGTATCTTATATTGTTAAGATTGTGGCCATCAATGCTAAATCCCAGAAGGGTTTCCAATTCTATCAGAATTGCCTTGCTGTATAAGTTGAACAGGTTGGGTGAGAAGACGCATCCTTGCCTTATGCTTCTTTTCTATTTTTGTATATTCACTGAACTCATTCCCTATGCGTATAAATGCTGTTTGTGTCCAGTATAGGTTCTTGATTATTCTGATATCTTTCCTGAATATATTGAGATTACTGAGCAGTTCCATCAGATCCTTGTGGCGTACTTCTTTGAAGGTCTTTGCATAGTCTATGAAACATATGTACACATCCTTCTGCATCTGTATTGCTCTTTCTGATAACATTCTAAGCATGAATATCGCATTCCTTGTCCTGGTGTTTTAATGAACCCGCACTGTTCTTGTCCTATCTATGGGTCAATTCTGCTGTGCTCTCTATTCAGTAGAATACTGATGACGATTTTTTTTCACATGGCTCATTAAGCTTATTGTTCGGTGGAGTTTGCATTCATTTGGGCCTGTTTTCTTAGGCATAGCTATGAAGATAAATATGCTGAGGACTTCCAGTATATCTCCACTGTTGTAGATTTCATTTGTTATTTTGATGATCTTGTCTATGCCAAAGTCATCTAAGGCTGTCAGCATTTCTGTTACAATAATAATGAATAATATTAGAATTAAATAATATTAGAACATCTAATTTAAATCAAAGTTCAGACATTTGTGCGCACTGGCCTTCTCAATCTTTCTGCAAATCTTGGAAAATAACAGCAGAATTACAACAAGTAACCAAAGCATGAGAAATGAGATCCTACAGAGCCATCTTTGACATCTTCTATATAGGCTGCATCAGAAATGATGCTGTGTCAGACACGATCAGATGACAAAACAGGCCCACTGGAAGGGGCCTCATATCCACTGTCAAGAAGAGAAAGTTGAAATGGTATGGACAGGTTAAAAGGGGCAACAATCTTTCCGCTACCATCTGAAAAAGGTTCCACCAAAAGCAAGAAATAAAAAAAACAGAGAGAAATGAAGAGGCAGACAGAGGAAAACAGTTGAGAATATCACTGAGTGAACTGGAAGATCCTTTAGAAACACCCAGTCATTGGTATAACAAGCTGGACATATGAGGGTGAACAATAACTGTCTGTCTGAAATAATTATTCAGATGAACTACAATCTTTACCATCTGTTTATATCTTTGAGATGAGTATGACACTATTTAGTTATGGTAATTGATTAACTAATTAACCATAAAAATGAAACAAGAAATGCTGAGAACAGAAAGAAGATATCTCAAAAGATATCCCGTTTGATATTAAAAAGATTTTATCTTATTTCCGAAAAATTACTTTTCTCATGAACCCAAGAATTTGCATAAACAGTGGACTCAAGAAAAAGGCCATATGGCAAGCTTTTGAGAATTGATTAATGATATTTGTAAAAGTACTGGTTAAAGAAAGCCCAAGAACAAGATGTCATTTGAAATCACAAGATTTTAGAAGTCAACCAATGAAGCCATATGTTGCTTGTAAGAATTTTTTAGCATGGGAAGATGTTCCAAGATACGCATTCAAATGGAAA